GCTAAATATTGTTTTTTGAATTTATTTTCACAAAACAGTCTGCCGAACACATTTTTCACCCGTTATTGTATATGCAAAACGAAAAACAGTTTTTTTGCAAAACGTTAACGAACATGACCTAAGCTTCTTAAAATTCAAGTAGGTTGTTATGGATTTTCTCCAACTACAAATCTCCGTTATGTGTACATTCTAGGCTTCGCTTTTATTGTATTCAAAACAAGGTTAATGATTATTTAGTACTACGGTTTAGTGGTATTAGTTTTTCACTTGAGAGTGAGATGTTTCAGGTCCAAATTTCGCAGATGAAGAGTTTGATACTAGTTCATTTGCAAGTGGCCCTCTATCACAATGGTGGAGAGGAGTGTTGCCCTTACACCACGACATGGATTCGAACTCCATTACTTCCTAATCTAGTATCTAATATAACAAATCTATCATTTGACAAAAAAAGAAAGAAATATATCGTTATATTAAAAAAAAAAAATGTTTAGCGTGCTAGTTGTACATGTAACTGAACCAGACGAGCAAAGGGAGTTCGGCTTTGCTCACAAGCCCATCAATCCACAATCTCAAAAGTCTGAATAAAAATATTCACATTTGAGAACTTTGCCGCCAGTACCCTTGTACATTGTTGGATATGAGCCATTTTCAAATCCAATAGGTCATGGGATCGAACCCGGCGGAAGAAGTTGTTGTTTGTTTGTGTATTGCTGTGCTTTCAGGATCCGATCCTTGAAATTTGATCCCTTTCCCTTTGAGAATATAAGGTATTCTATAATACCCTTGTTTTGCTTCTTAAACATCAGGATGTGTAGAATTCAGATCATTAAAATTCGATGCCGTTTAAGTCCTACAATTTAATTTTCATTTTTTATAAAAGTGAAGATCTTTTCCCTTAGAGCCTCTGTTTAAACTTTTAGTTGAATCACATTTTAGTGTATTTGAATTTCAAGCAAATATTAGTCACTTAAGTATTACAATCTTGTCGTACTCTTATTGTGTATTAAAATCTAAATTATTCCTATTTACTTATAAATTGTGAATAAGGTTTTAAGTTTAAATGGCGTGAATGACAAGTTCAAAACTAATTTATTTCTCAATTTTATTGTATCAGGAAAAAAAAAAAAACCTCGATCAAATGTACGTGTATTATTTGACAACTTTGCTAAAAAAATAGCGCCAAGTTTTAACTTCAATCAAAGTAAAAGCTGTTATCACTAAAAGGACACTAAACATTCAATAAAGCACATTTTAGTGTAATTTCCATCTTTCAACGATGGAGACTCACACACACACACACACAAGCCATGGATTTCCCCTAACTTCAATGACATACAATCTCCATATAATTTGTAACAATAATATAATCATGAAAATCTAGATAAAAATGGGGCAGTTCTCTCGGTTGCTGTTTTCTCCTAATTATTCAAAAATGTGAAGAACTCTCCCATTGAGTCGTATAACAAGGGCAAATTGTATCCGATGGTTACTTCTTGCGCAAGTGCAAGACCGCGACAACCACGGAGATGCCAACAACAGCCGCAGGAACAGCCCAGTATTGCTTTGTCAAGTCCACGAGCATCTTTGGATAATCGGTTGACTGAAACAGAATCTTCATTGCACAGTCTAACAAGTTGAGTAAGTTACGGAGATTGGAAGCTTATTTCTGTTTGGTAATAATGGTGACGATGGTGGTTGAGACGAGAGTGGTGTGAATAGCAATGGTTGTTGGAGTAATAGCAGTGGTGAGAATAGACTCAATAGAGGTGTTAATAGTGGTGGAATATAACAAGTTTTGAGTTATTATTAGATCACCTGTCAAGATAATAGGTACGACACATAAACGATACGAACACGACCTATTTGTCAAGTCTAGACATTAGGCATGACAATTTCTTACATGAGTCTTTAAGCCAACATGAAACGACACAAAAATAATAGGTTATGAGTCGATCCACTACCAAGTTTGATCGTTCTCGGGTCACTTATTAAGAACCTGTTAAGATAATGGGTTTGACACAACACGATCTGTTAAAATAATGAGTGTGACAAAAAAAACAACAAAAACACTATCCATTTGCCAGGATCAACTCATACAAGAGTGAATGGAGTTTCAGAAAAAAAAAGGGTTCGCCCAGTTTTGCCATTGATGTGCCCTTAGAAATGTGGTTCCCCTTTAAGTATAAAATTTTTGAGTTAACATGGCTGGTTCCCTTGTACGCTGTTGGATTTGAGTGATGTTCGAATCCAATAGGTCTTGGGATTGAAACTGGCAGATAGACTAAAGATCGATCGCAGGGTTTAAAGTTTAGGGTTCAGGGCTAACGATGTCTGCGAGAAGTTACCAGTGTGGAAGTATAAGGTATTCTAAAATACCTTTGTTTTGCTCTTTTATAAGTTTTTGTTGCGTTCATATTTAACTTCAATCAAAATAAAAACTCTCATCAACAAAGGACATTAAACATGCAATAAAGCACATTTTAGTAATTTTCTTCATAATTAATAAAATACGAGATATGTATAATTACTACTTAAGTTATATGCCTTTGTATTCTTTTAATACAATTACTATTGGGAGGTGATTCGAGTACAAGATTTCGAGTGCACGTGAAACCGCTTGAGTTACATGTTTTTTTCAATATCTGATGCTGATTTCTTAGTAGAGTAGTAGTTCTCACACCTTGTGAAACCAGTATGAAGTTGTTGAGACCAAAACATAAATAATCTCATACTTTTGTAAGAGTGATCACATCAACCATGTGGTTAGAAGACAATTTAGCCTTCTATCACAAAATAAAATTATGGACACTAATGTAATTTCACATAAACCAAATTTGATTTTTTCATATGTAATTCTAGCATATCTCTAATATTAAATAAATAAATTCACATGTTCTCTCTCTTTCCCTCTCTCCTTCCCAATTTAACAAATGGGTAATGCTTGGGGAGTGTTGCTATCAATATTTTGAAGGGCTTCTATGGCTATCAATGTTTTGAAGGTTTTTGTATTCTAGTTATAGGACAAAACGTGATAGTGTATATTTTTTTTATTTAGTTAAACCCCGTGATACTATTTTCAAGGAGGATATCTTTTAAGATGCAGTTTTAATTTAAACGTTTTCAAATTAAAAAAAAAAAAAATATATATATATATATATATATATATATATTTGGAAAGTTGGAAACGCACACATAGACAGAATTTTTGCAAATCTTTAATCAATATCACTAAAGGCCTAATATATATATGGTGGCAGTAGTGACGGTGGTGGTGGTGGTCATGGTCGTGGTGGGATAGCGATGGTGGCGAAGGAGGAGCATATGGTGGTGGTCATGGTGTGATGGCAAGGAAGATGATGGTGGTGGGAGGTGATAGTGTCAAAGATGGTGGCAATGGTTGTGAGATGGTGGAGAATATTGTGGTGGTCGTGGTGACAATAGTGATAGTAGTGGCGACATACATGATGAGGTGATAGTGTAAAAGATGGTGGCAATGGTGGTGAGATGGTGGAGAATGTTGTGGTGGTCGTGGTGGCAATAGTGATAGTAGTGGCGACATACATGATTTTATTTTTTAATTAAACTCTAATTTTGTTTTATAATGTACCTTTATTTTCCATTATTTTGAAAACTGTTCTTGAAAAATAAAGGAAACGTCAATTTGATGTTCTACAAAACTCAGGCTAAATATTGTTTTCTGAATTTATTTTCGAAAAATAGTTTGCCGAACACATTTTTCACTCGTTATTGTATATGCAAAACGAAAAACAGTTTTGCAAAACGTTAACGAACATGACCTAAGCTTCTTAAAATTCAAGTAGGTCGTTATGGATTTTCTCCCGCTACAAAACTTCGTTATGTGTACATTTTAGGCTTCGCTTTTATTGTATTTAAAACAAGGTCAATGATTATTTAGTACTATAGTTTAGTGGTATTAGTTTTTCACTTGAGAGTGAGATGTCTCATGTCCAAATCTTGCACATGAAGAGTTTAATTCCAGTTCATTTGCAAGTGGTCCTCTACCACAGTGGTGGATAGGAGTGTTGCTCTTGCATCACGGCGTGGGTTCGAACCTCGTCGACTTTCTAATATAGAATCTAGTCTAACAAATCTATCGTCTGACAAAAAAAAAATACCAATTCATTTACTTATCCCTTAATGTAAATATATCATTATATTAAAAGAAAATGTTTAGTGTGCTAGTTATACATGTAACTGAACCAGACGAGCAAAGGGAGTTCGGCTTCGCTCACAATGCCCACACAATCCCTCAGAAATTCAATCCACATTCACAAAAGTCTGGATAAATAAATTCACATTTGAGAACTTTGTCGCCAGTACTCTTGTGCGTTGTTGCGTTTGAGCGATTTTCAAATCCAATGGGCTCATGGGTTCGAACCCGGCGGAAGTTGTTGTTGTTTGTTTGTGTATTGCTGTGCTTTGAGAATATAAGGTATTCTATAATACCTTTGTTTTGCTTTTTAAACTTTAGGAAGTGTAAAACTCAGATCGTTGAAGTTCAATATTGTTTAGGCTCTACAATTTAATTTTCCCTTTTTTTTTTTTTTTTTTAAAAGTGAAGATCTTTTCCCTTAAAGCGTTTGTTTAACCTTTTAGTTGAATCACATTTTAGTGTATTTGAACTTCAAGCAAATATGTATCACTTAAGTATTATTGTCTTGTCGTCTTCTTATTGTATCTTACAATCTAAATTATTCCTATTTACTTATAAGTTGTAAACAAGGTTTAAGTTTAAATGGCGTGAGTGATGAGTTTAAAACTAATTTATTCCTCATCTTTTGTTGTAAAAATATTATTGTATCAAAAAAAAAAAAAAAGCCTCAATCAAATGTACGTGTATTATTCTACAATATACTCTAGTTGGCAACTTTGCTACATGGTTTATTGTTTTCAACTTCAATCAAGTACGTATGTGTATTATTCGACAACTTTGCTAAAAATATAGCGCCAAGTTTTAACTTCAATCAAAGTAAAAGCTCTTATCACTAAAAGGACACTAAACATTCAATAAAGCATATTTTAGTGTAATTTTCCATCTTTCAACAATGGAGACTCACAAACACAGAAGCCATGGATTTCCCCTAACTTCAATGACATACAATCTCCATATAATTTGTAACAATAATATAATCATGAAAATCTAGATAAAAATGGGGCAGTTCTCTCGGTTGCTGTTTTCTCCCAATTATTCAAAATTGTGAAGAACTCTCCCTTTGAGTCGTATAACAAGAGCCAATTGTATCTGATGGTTACTTCTTGCGCAAGTGCAAGACCGCGACAGCCACGGAGATGCCAACAACAGCCGCAGGAACAGCCCAGTTTCGCTTTGTCAAGTCCACGAGCTTCTTTGGATAATCAGTTGGCTGATTCTTGGAGAAAATCTCGAGCTCTGGAATATCCGAGGAGGTGTCAAGCTCCCCAATGCAGAACGCTTCCATTTCCTCCCTCGCAGTTTTGCTGTGCCCGGCATCTTCAAAATCTTCGGTGGCATCTCTTCCTAATGAAATCGAATCTCAAAAATTCAGATCACGACACATCTACATTGTTGTTTGAGATGATTATCTGAACTGAAACAAAATCTTGATTGCACAGTCTAATAAGTTGAGTAAGTTATGGAGATTGGAAGCTTATAAATGTACCAGTTGCAGCCAGGAGCACATCGTCTCCACCAGGGTGGTCGTCCAAATAGGTTGACACATCGTACACCTGGGATTAACCAATGCACTATGATCAGACCATTGAGTTTGATGTCAAATTATAGTTCTCCAAATCAAAATAAAACAGAGAAACCGAACCAGCAATGAAAAACTACATTCGAAATTCGTTATGACATACACAATCAATTCGATCCCTTAAAATCAGATTTCAAATTCGTAAATCAAGACAATAATTTGGATGATAAAGAGCTTCCAACAGTCATGGGATTCCTCATTCTGCACACTGAAATTTTTTTTTCGAATATTAAGAGAGGAAGGATGCCGAGATTACTGACCAAATTTGCAGATAAACTCAGACGAATATTAGTTCATAAATGCCACAAGCACAGTAAGGCTGCAAGCAACACGAATACAGCAAGACGTGTGCTTAAACCAGTAACCAGTTCACTTGATGGAAAAGAAAATTGATTACGCCAAATTCCCGAGTACAAAAGCCGGTAATAATTTTAACAGAATACAACAGGCCTCACGAATCGAGATCAAATTCCATAAGGACTATTCATATGTAATTTAAACAAGATTATGAATAGCAAAGCCACACATACATAAATATTACTCCCGACGACAATTCAACCAAATCGTACTATCTATAGGTCAAAATTTATGATGGGAAAGGAGGAAACTTGACCTAGAAACCGAGAAACACAGAGGAATTACAGCAGTAAATAGTGAACAGAATGAAAATCGAATATGGGTTTTGCAGGTAATAATCCAAAGTCTCATTCTTTGACTTTTTTATGACCTAAAGATTAAGGGCACGCTGAATCCTCCTGAACACAAACAACCCTAAAAGTTGGAATATTCAAAGTGTTCCCTTTGTATCAATCCCAAGATGCAGTGCAAAGATTAGCTACCAGAGGCAACATACAGATCTGAAAATACAAATACCCGAAAGGAAAAACTCATGGCATCTTCGTTTTTAGGTTGAATTGAACATTTGAATTCATGGGGAAACAATTACCTTGCCATCGATGACGACCCAGCAGTTGTCTTTGGTGTTGTGCTGCGACGCTTCTTGCATTGTGTACAGCTTCGTCAACGTCGGCATCGTCGCGGGTGATTTTGGTCAAACCAACTTCAGAGATTCTCGTTGCTGGTCTTTCTTCAACCTTCGGCTCCTTGGATTGGATACCCCAACTACGATATCGACTCTCTCTCCCTCTCCGTTGGTTGAATCACTCCTTCCGTTGGGCTTTAAATGCTATGAGGGCCCAATAATTGATTGCCACGTAGGTAAAAAGAAAGAAAACAGTATTGACTTTGCGTTGCGTGTAAAGGAGGTTGTTGTGACTTTCTTACCATTTCGGCCCAAACCCTGCATGCAACAACAACCAAAGGAAACCGATACTTACCGTCTATTTGTATCATCTTCCTAATAAATAAAAGTCATAAACACATATGGATCTTATTTTTATTAAAAAAATGGTACAAATAGATGATAAGAATAATATTTTTGTTGTTTATTTTGCTTACTTTAATACATCTGATCATAACTTTTTATAGGCAAATAATGATACAAATAGATGATAAGTATATGATTGTAATTATTTTATGGGCAAATAATGGTACAAATAATAGTTTGCTTACTTTAATGTTTATGATTGTAATTATTTTATGGGTAATGCTGAGAAGAGCAAATTTTTAAACTCAATCTCCTTATTCCTTACCATACAACATTCTTGTTTAGTTGTCTGCACTCCAACTGGATACACGTCGAGGCTAAATGGCTCACGAATCAAGACCAACTATATAAACAGATTTTTCATTGGGATATTCTTATGGTGCAAGCAATTGGATATCCGGTTCATTTTCGTATAACCAATTTTTGTTCCAACATGTGTCTTTCATCTTCATCGTAGCAAATTTTTGTTTTATTGACTAATCATTATTTATAATTGAACATGAGCAAGGCTCTCAACATTCCCAATTAATGTGGTTTTGTTTGAGATTAAGATTATCAAGAATCCGCATTAATCATGCTGAGCTTGTTTCGTATATCTTGTGGATGAAGCAATCTCTCGTCTCTAATTACAGTTGTACGTTTTTAGTCTCCCCGATGACAATATCACAAAATCGAACTAGGCAATTCAGAGTTCGTAACATCACTTAATTGCTTTTAGCTCCTTCTGTGACTTTCCAGCTACAAGGCTGTCAAGGCATGCCCATTTTCTGAGAGCTCGTCATTCGAATTTCTAAGCCAATTGAGTACAAGTTCGCCATAACCTACCGCGCGCGGACGGATCACTAAGCAAAATGTGTCTTCGATAAGGAAGTATCCCGAAAGATCATGCTGACCGGCCTTCTGCATCACATTGTCCGTCAAGCAGTAGGTCTCCCTCAGTTCGGTTAAGGTTTGTTGTCCAAGAACCAACAACTCTTGGATCTTCATTTGCAGACAAGTTGCTGGCTACCGCGGTAGATTTACAATCTCAAGAACTTGTAAAAAGCCTTGCGTCTTCATGAACAGCATCATCCTTCCTAAGATGATTGGAGGCGCCAACAGAATCTAGGGCAAACTATCTTTGGCTGAAAGTCACTCTCTCCTTGATGAGCAGGAAATGGTACGTAGCATTACTTTCGGATATTTAAACATGTCATTTTCTTCATTGCCAAACTGAATGACTTATTTACAAGCCCACCTCTCCTACTTCTCTTCCCTGTGATTCGTCGTATTTCCAAGATTGAACATGCCTATACCTACATCTGTTCCAGAGGCCCCGATACAGAAACTCATCAAAGGTAACGAACTCCTTTCTGCTGTTCCATCAACAAAAAATAAATCAATTTGTGACGGGAACGAAAACGAGAGAGGCTTTTGAGATTGAAGAAATTATAATTACCAGTCGGTAAGAGAAGGCGGGATCACAAAAATTGGGGGGGGGAATGAAAAAAGAGCGCCGTTGCCGGGGATCGAACCCGGGTCACCCGCGTGACAGGCGGGAATACTTACCACTATACTACAACGACCTTGTTGAAAAATTTTAACAGATTTTTATACAAGAATTAAAGACCAATAGTTATGCAAGAATTACATTCTCTTGGATATCATTTATACAAGAATTAAAGAGCAATTGTAAGAAACAAGTTCAAACGACCCAAATCCTACAATTAATTTCAAAACTAATAAATAAAGAAAAATTGATGGAAATCCTAATCAACGATGCAAAAACAAACCAAATTACAAACTCCATATCCAATAATAAATCAGTAACTTTCAACACTCTTAACCACTTGCTTTGCTCAATGAACTCAAAATTGTGCCTCTCTGGCAAAAAAATCTTAGTTTTGTTAACACCAAATTAAGATAGCCACTAGCACCATATTACATTCATATTTATCTCAACTTATAAGTGAGATGTTTTAAATTCGACTTGCTTAGATACGAGTTTAAGTACCCTAAATACTATATCCCATAGAGTAGGAAATCATTAAAAAACAAAGGGTAAATTACATTTTACCCCCTCAGGTATGGGGTCAATTTCAATTCCTTACAACATCTTTAAAACATTTCAATTTCATATATTTGCTTTCATTTTATTTCAATTTCATACATCCGTTAGAAAATCTATTAAGTAAACCTTTAAGTGATGACGTGGCAAATATGAGATCCATATTTGTGTTGACATGGCTGTCAAATTTGTGCCATGTGGCAAAAAAATTAATTTTTTATGCATTTGAAATATTATAATAATTTACCTTTAAAAAAAAAAAACAACAACAACAACCCTAAAACCCATCTTCCCCGATCCACTTCCTAGTTGCAACTGTACAATTTCCAGCGAATTCCACCGTCGTCGAGCCCCCCAAGTTTCGAGAAGCACCTGCATTCCGCAACGGACGAGGATGCCCCCAAACCTCATGGTCCTCGTTGGACCAGAACTCCCACTACGACACCTCCATCATCCACATCGCCATGACATTGGACACCACCTACCTCCGAGGCTCTGTTGTCGGCGTCTTCTCTGTCCTCTATCCTACCTCGAAAACATAGTCTTCCACTTCATCGCCACCTTCCACCGCAGTCGTCGCTCCTCCGACCTCCACCACGTCATCTCCTCCACCTTCCCTTACCTCACCTTCCACCTCTACCACTTCGACTCCAACCTCGTCCGGGGCAAGATCTCATTCTTCGTCCGTTGCACCCTTTATCAGCCCCTGAACTACGCGCGCATCTACCTCGGGGATCTCCTCCCATTGGGCGTCCGTCGCATCATCTACTTTGACTCCGACCTCATCGTCGTCGACAACGTGGCAAGGCTGTGGCGGATCGACCTCAGGCGGCGCGTGCTGGGGGCGCCGGAGTACTGGTGCACACATGGCGGTCGGAGTACTAATGCCTTGAAGCAAAAGAGGTGGGTTGGGGGGGTGAAGATGGAGGAGTGGGTCTGGGGAGAGAGAAGAGATGGGAGGTGAAGAGAGAGGATAGGGATAAGTCGGTCGGGGAAGATAGGTTTTAGGGTTTTTTTTTTTTTTTTTTTTTTTTTTTAAGGGTAAATTATTATAATATTTTAAATGCATAAAAAAATATTTTTTTTTCCACATGGCACAAATTTGACAGTCACATTAGCACAAATGTGCACGTTATCACTTAACGGTTTACTTAACAGATTTTCTAACGGATGTATGAAATTGAACTATTTTAAAGATGTTGTGAGTAATTGAAATTGACCCCAAACCTGAAGGGGTAAAATGCAATTTACCCAAAAACAAAACACCCAAATTGAGATCAAAATGAGACATCGTCATCCAATTGACCAGCTTGAACAATTTGGAGTTTTTCTCTCTTTAAAAAAAAAATATATATATATATATATATTATTAAGGGGGAGAATTAAAAACTATTACAATAATTTAGGAAATGGAAGAGTTTTGAATCTAGGACACATGAAGAGTTTTTCTCTCTTTTGTTTGTTAATGTTGTTTGATGAGGTTGTTGGTTTAGTCACATTATTTCCTATGTCTTTTTTAAGGCATTTCCTATGTTTTCCTTAATTAATGTTGTGTTGTATGTTATTTTCTTGTAAAGATTTATTTGTGTAGAGTCATAAACTATATATTCTGAAATTTACTCTGAAATCCGTTACCATAGCTTAATTCTCACCATAGTTCCTGCGTTTCCTAGAGGTAAACGGGCCACGAAATGAAGACAAAGATTAGAAATGGTCCAAATGGACATGGTAGGAAGGTGTTCCTCCCCATATATTACCATTTTTGAATTAATAAAAAGAGATGAAAAGAGAGAAAACAGAAGGCAGATTGTCCTTGGATCAAGTAATTGCCGGTCGTCGTCGTACTGTAATTGTCGATTGCCATTGTGCCAGCTTATAGGAAATCGTCGACCGCTACTTTCTTTGTGCTCTTCTTGGTTTGGATAACCATTGATCGCTCATGCTTAATCTAGGATGGATGTCAAGTGTGTAACTGAAAGTATTGCTTTGTTTCGATAAACATTGGTCGTTAATGTTTGACCTGGACTGGTGTGGATAATGTAATCCTTATTACCATCACTGGCAAGTTGTTGGGGCATCCTTGGTATATATCACGGTTTAGGGTTTAAAATTTAGGGCACACTCACTAACATGTAAACGTGTCAATCATATAAAACTCCACACCCAAATTGTACTCTCTAAATAAAAGGCATGGGGAACGCGGATTGAAGATTTCCGAAACCCTAGTTTTTTTTTTCTTACTCAAATCGAAAACCCTAGTATGGGTAATCCTGTAGCTACAACTCTATCGGTTGATAAAATCATAAAAAAACTTGTAAATTGTTAGAGAATGGAGTAATAATTATAGGGAAACGATAAACACACATTTTGTTTAGTTTCTTAATTACACTCATGTCACTTAGTAGTATTCATTTTCACTTGTAAGTGAGAGGTCTTATGTTCGATTATTGCCAAAGACAAATTTAAATCATATTATCTATACTAAAAAGGTGGGGGAGTGGGTTAAATCTTATAATAAGTTAGTAATAATGTAATTGCTTTTAATTTATTCAATCCAATCAACAGTTAAAAATAAAGAAAGGTGTAAGAAAAACTAAAAATGATGTATAAAAATCATTTTTCTAATTATAAGTGCATGTAAATGAATTAACCTAACAGCTAGGATGAGAGAGAAAGCACCCTAAAGGTTAGGAAAGTGTACAATGAACACATCTAGGTAGCTAGAGCC